CGCACCCCTCAAACGGTACCCATTAAGCCCCGCACCGGGAACCCTAAACCGAATCAATAAGAACCCTTATCGAAGCCTTGTGGAACCCTAAAGGCAAGACCCCTGCCAGTAAGTCTAAACGCTACACTCTCCAATCCAGAGAACCTCCACCCTAGACCCTACTTTGAGGAACATGAGACTTAGTAACTAAGGTTACAATTATATAGGGTGGCTATACTTATATCTACTTATAACCCCAATTAAGGTACTTATAACCTTACTTCCTAAGTCCCATGATCCTCCATTCTAGAACCCCTATAGATCCCTTTAAGGAATCCTACTATAGAACCCTATAGTACCCTTATTGACTAGGCAACCTGTCTTGCGCGATGCCGGGCTAGCATTTCGCCATGCACCGGGCCAACCCGTTGGGATGACCCGCAACAGAAAGAAGCCCAGAAGCCTACAGCTTACAGTAAAAGCCAGAAAGTTGGAATATGATTATCCTAAGCCCTTTATGGTAAATTATAAGGTATCCTACCCTGAAACCATATTCCAACTTTCTGGAGTTCCCTTTACAGCTTAACTTAGTGTCGAGAATATCGGGGCCTTGATGTCTGGAGTAGGGTTTTGGGGCATATTACTATGTGGTCTACTATGTGTAAATCTAAACGCTCATACACCCCTGCAAAAAAAGAACATAAACCTCGATACCACGCGAGTGTTAATCATGCCGAGCCCCTCAAACAACAAAATTCGTCTTTGGCAGAGAGGGAAGCTCCTAATGACACGCGAAGGAAGAGCAATGGCAGCAGCAGGCTCCACAACCACCACTACTGCTGATGGACAAAATCCGGCGACCCTAAGGACTCTAAACTGTGGGAACTATGGTATATTCCTTATAATGGGTAATGCAGGATTTATATCCCTAAACCCCAAAACCCTATAGATCCCTTAAAGGAACCCCTTAAAGGTACCCTTCCTTGTAATGGGTCATGCAGGATTTTTGTCCATCAACATTAGCACCCTTCGTTGTGACAATCGACACGGCATTGTTGTGGTACCATGCACCTCTACCGATTCCACATCTATGACTAGTGACTCATGTAACTGTTCCAGATAAAACCCGATAACCCATGACTCATGTCGTAGCCCTCATTGTAACCCTTTCCGTGGCCCTTATAACCCTTGTAGTAACTAGCCTCATAGCTACCCTCATACTAAATAACGATCACCCAGACGACTACTATGGGGAGACCGTCACGGGGTCATTGCGACCGGGAACGGGTTTAGTGTTTCGGGCTTTGGATGTAGGGTTCAGGGTGTAGGACCTTGGGTTTGGGGTTCTCCTTCTCCTCCTCCCCCCCCCCTCCCCAGGGGTTGTAAGATTCTTCAACGGTACTGCAAGATTCTGTAAGCTGAAACCCTAAATTTGGACTTACGGTTTAGGGCTTCGGAGTACGGGTTTAGGGTGTCTTGTCTGTTGTTTTGTAACGAAGGCGACAAGCACTGCATTAGCAGTGACCACAAGGGTCCAAAGGACCCAATAATTAGACACTCGGACTTAGGATAGTAGTTATGTAGGTTAGGATTTTGGGGAGTATATTATATGATTATTGGGTACTTGGACCCTTGCAGTGAGGCTAAAGGGCGTTCCTGCGGCGAACCCTGATGACGAGCTCGCGGGCCAAACTCTGGGGTCTTCTCGCTCTTTTCGCGCGTTTGGGGGGGGTGGTCTACAGACCAGAACCCTAAATCCTAAACCCCTAAACCCTAAACCCCCAGGTCGTGGATGAAAAGCTCAGGGACTAGTGGCCTATGAAGCCCGAAGGGTTTAGAAAACTTACTACCCCAAGAAGCCATAGAAACAAAAGGCGAAATTCTCCGGTTCCTACTAAACTACAGGAGCCCGAAGCGCTTAAAGGTTGGGTATTGGGGGGGTCTAAGTTAGCTAGTGTCCTATGAAGCTCTCTTCTTCAACAACCGGGCCCCAAAAAGTTCAAACTTTCTAAGATAGAGCTAACATATAAGGCCAAAAAGTTTAAAGTTCCCCCGTTCACTATCTAAGGAAGTCTTTGTGGTTTAGAAAACACCCCCCCTTGTGAAGACCTCCGACTTGCAGCAGCTCTTGAAAGGCGACGATGAGGGAGGGCGGATCGGAAACGGAGGGATCTTGTTCATGGACAAAATCCTGCATTACCCATTACAAGGAAGGGTACCTTTAAGGGGTTCCTTTAAGGGATCTATAGGGTTCTGGGGTTTAGGGATATAAATCCTGCATTACCCATTATAAGGAATATACCATAATTCCCATAGTTTAGAGTCCTTAGGGTCATGCAGGAATTTGTCCATCAACAGTCTCACGCTCAGGGAAGCAACCGGCAAGCTTACATCGGAAATCCTCAATCCTCAATCCAACCAAGAGCCCCAGCACTGTGTGATATAGGGAGGCCTGCTAACTTCGATAGGGCTTTGGTGGTATATTATAGTATAATTGCATAGGGCATCGAGGCTACAAGCCTATACTGTACTACTTAGAGGCCCAGGGGACTTAGTAAGTAGGTTGAAAGTAGAGTCATAAGTTCTCTGAATGGTATAGCCCTACTTATAACCGACTTACGAAGTCCCGTGGGCCTCCAAGCATTCCTGCTTGTTCTGACACTTACAGTGGCCGTTCGCTTCTGGCGGAGATGCGACTGAGCACACCCCTGCCGACGACTGCTGCACTTATGTCTCAACATGTGAAGCTCTAACTCCCTGAACCCTACCTTAAACTACAGCGCCATACCTCATTTTTCTTATGTTGTTCTTGCAAATTCTAATGCAAAGTTAAAGTTTCTAGGGACCTACAATAAATTTTGGTTTTGATAGGTTTCGCTGAACCCGAAGCCAAAAACCCCCCCATTCAGGTTCCAGGCCACGTTTTCAGAGATTGCTTGAAGAAGGACTCCGATAAACCATGGCACTAAAGGGTTTAGGGGTTCGGGTTTAGGGCCTAGGGCTTAATGGCTTATGGGGTTTAGGGGTTGAAGCTTTTAGGTATTCATGGTTTAAGGGTTTAGGGGTTTAGGATGCAGACCATCGATCGAATCAAACGAACTCGGCAAAGACATATTGCTCATGGGGATGAGCATGCCATCTAACTATGCGAAAACACGCAGACACTGGTCATAATTGATGGCTCGGATTACCACCACCATGATGATCATCACCATCATGGCCACCTACATCCCAGCATAGAAGCCCTAAACCCTAAACCAACAAGAAGAGGCCACGGCCCCATGGCAACCCCGATCTGAAAGAGCACAAGGCAAGGGCACAAAGCATCACCTAAGATCTTCTCCCCTAGAAGTCTTGCTATAACTTACCTGGGCTTTTAAGTAACCAGGGAGAAAAAGGTATAAACTTTCATTTCATGATGGTTCCCTTTAAGAAACAGTATTAAAGTATGGTACTCCAAAGCCCAGTTACTACCCCAATAAGCCCCAGAAATTGTAGGTTAAACTTTCCGATTTTTACTAAACGTTAAGAGCCCAAAAAGTTTAAAGGGTCGGTATTGGGGATCCAAGATAAACTTTGGCTTACTTGCCCCGTTTCCTTAAAATGGCCCACAAACCGCAGAAAAAGCAAAGACGAAACGTATCCAAGTGCCTTTGATGGGAGTAATTTTACTATTTGGGGGGTATAGGGTCCGCCCTAAACCACAACTTCTAAACTCTTCTAAACTCACACCGTATACCCTCTAAACCCCAAAACCTAAATTCTGATCCTTGACCCCTCTCAAAGTCTACACCGAACCGGAAACACAAGCCTCCTGATCACCGTCCGCACGCCCCTCGTCGCAAAATAATGGCCGCTGCACGGGGATTCGGTAACATAGGGGCCTTAATATTTAGAAATAACCGTAAGAAGCACCCCCCAAAATATTATAGGCAATTATTTAGGCCCCTATATTATCTGTGCATCGACTGTACATGCGACCCGATAAAGCATTTTCAATGCCGCTGGGAAGCAGAGGCAACAGCCTCCATTTTGATGTCATAAAACCCCCTCCCCCTCAGTGCATTCATCGGTCAGGATTTCGCTGTCTGTAACTCCATGACCTCCGGGCAAAGATCACTTTGGGGTTGAATAGCCTAACGGTTCGAAGATGACATCTCGCAAGAGCATCTGAAGGTCGTAAACCCTAGGCCATACACCCGAAACCCTAAATGCAGCAGCCTTTGGCCTCTAAATCTTCCTCAAGCCCCCAAACCAGCCCCGAGATCCAAGAAGTACATGCATGAATCAGTTTATGTTAATGTTAATGTACATATCCAAATACATCTACTTCTTCTATATAGGTAAATCTGTACGCATCTACATCAACCTATACATATACATATACATGTACATACCAAGAGATACCAATATACATCTTAAAAAATGTATATATCTCTGCTTATAAATGCATACAAATATGCATGTGTACATATATATATATATATATATATGTATGTATATATATATATATGCATTTAAACATATATGTACATATATATATATATATATGTATATATACAGGTGAATGTAAAAGGATGTAGATGGAGTAGATAGATAGATAGATAGATAGGCAGATAGCAAACAATAAACCAAAAACAACTGATAACGCGCGAAACTGAACTCTGACCCCCGTAGAAACCTGGTCTTAGAACCCTTAGTGGAACCTGTAAAGCAACTCGTTAAAACACATATACAGCCTGAGCCCCGGAAACCCTAAACCCCAAGCTCTACTTGAGCTAAAAGGACTCAGTAAGTTATAAATAAAAGTAGAGTTACAAGTACCCTACTTACCCCAATTACAACCCTTATCACATATATATATATATATATATATACATATATATGCACCTGACTTACTAAGTCCCTTGTAAATCCAAGTAGACCCTAAACCCTCTGATGCAACCCTTATGGATCCCTTTAAAGGAAGCCGTAGAACACCCTTTAAAAGGAGCCCTAAGTGCAGGGCCCCCGCCGGGCCGCTACGAGGATCGTCCAGGGCGTGCCCAGCTGCACAGGGGCCAGGATGCCAGGCCTTGCGTAACCCAGAGACTCCAATACCCCTTAATAAAGGAATATACCTTAAATTATAGTAGGATCCTTAATATGATTTAAGGAATATTCCTTAATTAAGTGGTATTGGAGTCTGTTTCCGAAAATGGGGGATCCTAACATAGTACCCTAAGTAGTAGGATCCTTACTATAAGGACCCCAAAATACGGTACCCCTAATTTTCGGAAACTCCCATGCATAATGTTCGGAGGCCTCAAAAGGTGGGATGAAGGTAGGTGGGATATTCCCAAATAAGAGTCCTTATATAAGGGATCCTTAATCCTACCTACCTTCACCCCACCTTTTGAGGACTCCGACATGTAGATCTTCAGGCGGTGTAGGGTTTAGGGTTTCGGTGTTTCGGGTTTAGGGTTTAAGGGTTTAGGGGTTTAGGGGTTTGGTGGTTTGGGGTTTCCTAGAGACTCCAATACCCCTTAATTAAGGAATATTCCTTAAATCATATTAAGGATCCTACTATAATTTAAGGTATATTCCCCTTAATTAAGGGGCATTGAGTCTCTGGGTTTTAAGGGTTGAGGGATGCCAGGCCTTGTTTAACGTGAGGGTCTCATGAGGGCTCCTCGTAAGTGCTTCATAAGGGGTCGATAGGGTTTAGAGTTCAGGTTTGAGGGTTGGGGTTTGAGGTTTACTTAGGGTGTAATGTAGGAACCTGATTAAGAAACCCTGGGCATATCCACTCAAAAGGTTTCTTAATCAGGTTCCCCTATTTAGCCAGCAGCTGTGGGACAAAACTTTTGGGGGTGCGCTTTGGGGTTTGGGGTTTAGGGCTTGGGAGGTTTTAAGGCTTTTGGGATATGGGGTTTGAGGGCCTTACTGCTTTAGGATGTAACGCTGAGGGTTTAGGGTTTAGAGTTTAGAGTTTAAGGTTTTCGGGAGTTCCTGTAAAGGTTTCCCTGCATGAGCGCTCGGTGTGGGTCTGGGAAGCGTCGTTTACATAAGGATCCCTATAAGGGTCCCTATATGGATGAGGCTTGCAGTGTAACGTTTCGGGTTGGTGCGTCCAGGGGTCAAAACCCAGAGAGCCCAACACACCTTAATTAAGAAATATGGCTTAAATTATATAGGGCTTCATATTATGATTTAAGCTATATTCCTTAAATAAGGGGTATTGGGCTCTCTGGGAACTTAGGACAGATTGCGAATTGTCACTTCGGAGTGCCGGCTCGTGTACCGGTTATTATGCGCTTAGAGCTTGACGAACAGGAACCAGAATGCAACGCCACAATTATGCTTTGGGGCTCAAGGTTTTGGACTTAGGATGAACCTCACAGCACGAGCTCCCGCTTCCGATGTCGATCGCTATTCCAGCCTCAATCGTTGAACACCCCGGAGAACTCTTTAAGGAAGCTTGAATGAAACCTTAAACACGACAAGAATACAAACTGCACACCCTGAACCCCTAACCCCTAGACCCTGAACCTGAAGCTCTAAAGCCTAAACTCTACACCCCTTAACACCCGGAACCCTAGCCTCTAAGCCCTAAAAACACCACACCGCTACTTCCCAGAGAGCCCAATACCCCTTAATTAAGGAATATAGCTTAAATCATAATATGAAGCCCTATATAATTTAAGCCATATTCCTTAATTAAGGGGTATTATCCCCTAGACCCTAAACCCTACAGATCCCCTAAAGGATCCCATAAAGGATCCCTAGCCATATTCCTTAATTAAGGGGTATTGGGCTCTCTGGGTTCTCCGGATCTGGCCGGGTCGCCGTCCGGATCACTTGCTCGCTTGGAACCCACCCCTTCCTCGAGTTACTTGGAGGGTCGGGGGATTTAATAGGGCTTCCAAAAAAGGGTCCCTTAAAGGGGTTCTACAAGGGATTGTGTAGGGTACAATATAGGGGCCTTAATGATTAGAATGGGATTTGGGGGCGCGTTCTACTGTCAATCTGATAAGGAACCTCCCAAAAGACTATAGGTACTTATTGCAGCTCCTACATTAGGTTAGGACAGGATTCCTTCAAGGGCTCTATACACGGTCCTATAAGGGATCTAGATGGGTTTAGGGTTTAGGGTTTTGGGTCTACTAGAAGGGTCGGGGGGGCTTAGTAAGTAAACACTTTATAGAGCTACAAGTACCGGATAAGGGATCCTAATTGGGGTTATGGTACTTATTGCTTTATAGCCTATGGCACAACCAATTACTTACTAGGTCCCCCGACCCTCAAAGTAGCGTTCAGAGAGCAGTTCTGATGGTTTCTTTGCGGGTTCCATTGGGGGTTTGTGCCGCGGGGTTAAGTTTTGGGGAGTGAGGTGTAGGGCTTCCGGCTTACATTCTCAAAGTAAAACCTTTGGCCCGAATCCTAAACCCTAAACCCCTTGAAAAAACGATTCCCCGAAACCTCCGGACGATCTCTGCGGAGTTTAGGCTTTAACGGCTCCACTTTAAGCTTCGGAAAACTTAGCTTTACAGTGGCTCATGACGGTTTCTATACCTCTTAGGGGCTTAGGGTTTAGGTCTAGGCTCAGACCCTACCCTTCTTTTAGGGTACCTACTTTTCTATATAACCGAAACTAACTGAATAATTCTGTACCCCGAAAAAGGGATTGGGTATGAGCCTCTAGGTAGGGTGGTCGAAGGATCTTGCATGGGCAAGGCTTTCTTAGGGCTTAAAAAATAGCCTAGAATATCACTTTGCAGTTGGATGATCTTGCGCCACTGGTCAAACACAGCCAAGAGCTTGAGGAGTAACACAGGGCCCTGAATAGTTAGATATAGGGTCGTAGAAAAACGATGCTTTAGAAATGCCGTGGATACAATATCGAGTTTTGAGGAAAGACATTGCTCATCATTCAGGCCCGTATAGTTTTCAAGAAAATGAAGGCGCACGCTGCTTCAAACAGTCATCGGCTTGCTGTGACTCTCCAAAACCAACTGAGCGTATAGCATAACAAACTGTAAGACTGCAAAAGACGAAATAATAGAGTATGATCTATAGTAGAATAGTACAACACTTTAATATACAGTGGGTAGTATCTACAACTGTCTAATATAGTATAACCTAGTAAATTATGATCTAGTATGGTATCGTATATTACAGTACGATGCAGCTATATATATATATATATATAATAAGGCACACCATAGTTGAACATAGTATGACCTGTAGTATGATACAACTTGGTACAGATATAGTCTGATGCAGTATGATGTAATATAGCATGATCAAACCTGATAAAGTCGATATAGTCAGAAATGGTATGGTATGGTAAAGTGGATCATATCTGGCTTATCTTCAACTCAAAATGTGTTCGATGCACCTGGGTGCACGCTCCCTGCAAATGCTCCCCGTGGCTAACCCATCACCCAAATCCTAGCAACCCAGAAAGCAAAAACAACTCTTAATATTAGAAGAATCAACACCAAACAAAGCTCAAGACAACCCAAAAGCCTAACTAGGTGGCGCTTTTAAAGCCTTTGAAGAATTTTAGTAAATAAGATCCTCTTCAGCACAATAAGGGGGAATGTTACGTGTTACCTAGCTACCCAGAGAGCCCAATACCCCTTAATTAAGGAATATGGCTTAAAGTATATAGGGCTTCGTATTATGACTTCAGCTATATTCCGTAGTCAAGGGGTATTGGGCTCTCTGGGTAAAGTCGAGGGCAAAGTCATGGCCCAGGATCCGGCGTACCCGGAACGCTGGGCAACCTCTCCATGCGGCGGCGAAGGCTTTCCTAAGCAGGGGTTTAGGGTTTAGGGTGAAACAGTGACCTCCAAGCCCTGAAACCTGACATATCAAGAGTCGTCGTTTGATAGGAACCTGATTAAGACGCCCTGCGTCTGTATTAGGGTTCTTGACATCATCCCAATATTTGTGGGCAAGAGGGCCAGGGTTTCTCCAGGTTCTACATTAGGTCATTCGGCTTTTCGAATTAAATTGAATCAGCCGCATGCAGGCTTTAGCATTCAGGCTCCACTGTTTGAAGGTGGTTTTGGGCTTAGGCTTCCGGTTTTGGGTTTTGACTTTAGGGCTCACGGCTTAGAATTTTGAGTTTTGGGGTCTAGGGTTGATGGTTTTAGCACTTCGCGCTTAAGATAATGTAGGAACCTGATTATGAAACCTTGGGCCTTTATTAGGGTTCCTCATATGAATCCTGCTATTTTGGGGGGGGTTATAAGCCCAGTGTTTCTGAATCAGGTTCCTACATTAATATCTATGAATGTGGGGCCCTTGTCCTGTCTTGCCTAGATCCTAGAAACCTCATCCTAAAACCCAAACCCTTGAACTAAAACGCCCTAGGCCCCACACTCTAAACCAAGCCCTAAGCCCAAAGCGCTAAACCCTGAACCCCAAGCCCAAGATCTTTGAGGTGCAGCACTGATGGATCCGGGAAAGTCGTGGGTCTCAGCCTTCTGCTATATTGCTATATAAGGCTTTCTCACGGCTTCAAAACCCTAAACCCTAAACCCTAAACCCAAAACCCTAAACCCTAAACCCGATTCAAAACGCTTGATGAGAGTTTAGGCTTTACCTCAAGGGGCCAAGTACCCAATAATCATATACTCTCCAGAATCCTAACCTACATAACTACTATCCTAAAAGAGAGTACCTAATTATTGGGTCCTTTTGGACCCTTGGGGTTAGGGCTTAAGGATCGGCTTGATCAGGGTATGAAGCTTCTGCCCAAGCAACGGTTGATGATATAAATCCTGCATTACCCATGATAAGGAATATACCATACTTCCCATAGTGTAGGGCCCTTAAGATAATGCAGGATTTACATCATCAACAGAAGCAAGGAATGCCGGATGGAGGATTCGAAGTTTAAGGGTTTAGGGTTAAGGGCTCCGTCCTCTCGATTTGAGGATCCTAATCCCAAACCCTCAACAATGCCAAACGTAAAAAGCCAAACCCTTCAAATGCTTAGGGTCTAAATCCTGAAATCTAGCCACTATCTCTCGAGTTCCAATCGGTACTTCCTGCATGTGACTTTCTTTTTGCATCTTGGAGGCGCTATATCATAATCTGCGAAAGCCCCATAACATTCCAGAACCCTTCAAAACAATGTTGAATAAAATCAAACAATTTTGAAAAAAAAAACCAAGGCCCTTCTTAGCATGAGAAAAAGCCAGTCCTAAACTTTGAACCCTACATCCTGAACGCTAAATCCTGAAACGCCCTGAAGATCCAAACTGAAGACCCCAAACCCTAAACCCTGAACCAAAAACCATCTGCAGTCGGCTAAGTATCCGGATCGGGCAGGTCGGAAAACAGCCTGCAATCGGAGACTTCCCCGGGGCAGGGGATGGCAGGTCTTATAACGTTTATATACACCCTGTTGTTCTGAAGCATCTAACCTTCCGGATCGCATGCCGATCTCCAAAAACCCACCCCAAGTGAACTTGACTGGCAGCTTGGCCACGTGACATCGTGCTGCAGCTACCTAGAACGAAAGGACGAAAGCAGATCCCTGAAGGGAGTTCCCACAAGATCCTCATCCCTACACCCGTAACTCTGAACCCTACATGCCAGAAAAATAATAGAGACTGGACCCCTTACCCTGAACTCTATACCCTGATTCTCTGGGATCCTGAAACCCGAAACTCAGGGAAGCCCCAGTTGAACTTGAGGCTTGAGGTGTGCGGAAGGCGCTACCTTCCGAACCTAGCCGGAGCTCAACAATCGGTAGGTAGGGTCCAACACGTGATAGTTCAGACCCCATGGAAACCCTACACAACCCGATACAACCCATAAGAAGCCTTGCCGGAACCCTTGAAGGAACCCGTAGAAGGAACCGTTAAGGGTTCCTGTCAGGGCTCCTCTAAGGGTTCCTTTAAGATCCCTAAAGGAATCACCCTGAGCTTGTCGAATCTACGGCCTGCCGGGGCTTCCAAACTGCTCTCTGCCATCCGGCCGATCGCCTTGACTGAATCTTCCCAGAGACCCCACTTAGGGGCAGGGGACTTAGTAAGTAGATTATAAGTAGAGTTTTCAGTACATTAAATGGAGATACCCCAATTATGACCCCACCTATAAACGACTTACTAAGTCCCCTGCCCCTCCAAGCAATATCCATTAATTACGGAATGTTCCTTGAAAATTAGGATCCTACTCTAATTGAAAATATATACCTTAAGTCAGATTAGGGATCCTACTATATTCCAAGGTCTGTTCCTTTATTACGGGGTTTGGGGAATCTCTGGCAAGTCTTCGGCTTGCGGAATAGGGCTTGGGATTTAGGATGTCAAGTTTAGGATTTAGGCTCTATGGTTCAAGATGCAGGGTTTAGGATCTAGGGTATAGGGTTTAGGATTTTGGGGTTAGGGTTTCGGCTTTCGGCTTCTTGGTTTCGTTGTTTTTTGAAAGGGTTAACGGCCATCATTTGGGTGGTTGTCAATATTAGAGTCCCTTTTTGGGTCCTTACTAGAATACGGCACCTAATATTTAGGGTACCCAAAAAGGGACCATAGTGTTGACAACCACCCATATCTTACGTGTAAGCGTGCGGCTGAAGGCTCAGGGTGTAGGCCACTGTTAGCCTCAATGTTCGGGGGTTTCGTGACGTTTGCATCCTTGTGGACCAAAAGACCCTTATAAGTTGGATCCCAATACCCTTACACTACAAATTCCTGCATGGTATATGAACCTTAAACCCATTTGGGAGTTTCCGAAAATTAGGGTACCTTACTCTGGGGGCCTTATAATAAGGATCCTACTATTTAGGGTACTATATTAAGGTCCCCTGCTTTCGGAAATTCCCCTTTAGGGCCCAATACCCTTTAATGACTTTAATGAAGGAATATAGCTTAAATCATAACAGGAAGCTCCTCATACTTTGAGGTATATTCCTTCCTGTCTGGTATATGAACCTTAAACCCATTTAGAGTTCATTTTTCGTGCTTAAGGATTCGGAAAGCAGAACGGAGCCTGTGAAGGACGGCTGTATCAGAGACTGCTGTTGATAATTCTGTACCCAAACCCTCTCCACAACCGATAAATGAGGAATATGCCTTAAATCATACTATGGAACCTTCTATACTTTAAGGTATATTCCGTGATAGCTAGGACGGACCATCTAAGGTTCGAAACCCAAACTGTTGAAGGTGTTCACCCTGGGTGGCCATACCCTGCAGCGAAGCTCACGCAGAATGTTTTCTATGGCTGGGCGCAGAGGCGACTCACGATCTCAACGAAGCAACAAGAGAACCGACAAACCAACAAACGACCTGTACAGCTTTACAAGTTGTTGGTTACAGTACACATGGCTCAAGAGGCTTACCTTTCGTAGCCTTCCCCTACGAGCCGAAGCATAACAGCGCACAAACACTTGCAGACTACAGGTACCTAGCAGCTATACAAGGGCCCTGAAAGCTAGCCACAACTGCAAACTACAAGTGCTGATCACTGACATGCTGGAGCGTTTTCAACACTCCTCCTTGGCTCGCTCGTCAGGGCGACGCCACAAGCTGCGTATTTACAGCATGTCATCTTCGCCTGACCTCGAACCTTCTGGCACCTCAGCGTGTTTAGAGACCTGTGCGGTGGCGGTCTCTGCAGACGCGGCACAAGTTGCGGGTGGTTAAGGGTGTATTACGCCTTAAACACCCAACAAGTCTGATCTAGAGGCTAGCTGGGTGATCAGTCCAGTTTGCCGTTTTGCATAAGTAATAAACAAAACTTTCTCGAGGATATCCAAGACTGTACATAGAAGTGCACGTAGGGTACAAATTAGGGTTTCGAGTGGCCTGGCTGGTTTACCCCCAGCACACAAGCGAGAGCTACAGGCCTTCTGCACACAGGTTCGGGACTACGAGTACCTATTAATTCGGGTCACCCAAACCAGTTAAGGTCTGACAGGGGACCGGCTTTCGCTGCTGCAAGGAGTTGGCTCATCACGACAGCTCCTCCTGGGCTTGTACCTCTGAATTAACACAGGGCCAAGTGCACATATGCTCTCTTTGGCTCGAGCGGCACTACCTGTTTTTCAAAACAGCGTGGCTGAAGCAAAAGGCTTCAACACACGGCCTACCCTTAGGGTGGCTGCACTCCCTCTAAACTGCACCATCATTTGAGCGCGGACCTCATGCATCAAACAACTGATTGGTTGGCAGCGCGGCAACTGCCTGACAAATGCCTTGAAGAACCTGGGGCGAAACAGTTGTTGAGTCTTGCGTTGGGGCACTTGGCAGTGCGAGTTGAAGCTGCGATGATGGCTGCTCCTCCTGGGTTGAAAGCTGGAGGGAATGATGAGAAGCTTGAGGACCTGAAGCGTGCGAAGCGTGCTGTGTTGCCTGCACGACCTGAAGCGCAGCCTGAAACACAGTCGCCAACGCTTGCAGTAAGTCTTGACGGCCTGGGATTGCTCCCGGCTGTAATCTCCTGCCAGTGCCAGCTGCAAACTGCAGCTTGTCCTGCTCCTCCTCATTCGAGCTACTCTGGTGTCCAGAGCTAGAGGACCGAGTACCGGCACCTAACAACCCTAACAACAAACCAGTTAAACCCTGAGGCTCAGCGGCAGGAGGAGGAGGAGGAGGAGGAGTTGAGGAAGGGACAGGGGTCAGTGCATCCCCGGACGTTGTAGCAGTGCGCGAACCAAGCCCACTATCACCAAACCTACTAAAACTCACCTCCTCAGCACCCACCTGCTGCAACGCCGGCGCCTCACATCCACCAGCCTGCTGAGACTGAATCCTCCAGACTTCAGCCTCAGCACGACCGGTTTTCTCCTGTTCCTTTCGCAAGCGCTGCTTCAACCCTTCAAGCTGTGGCGCCACTTCTGCCTGAATCGCATCATGCGGAATAGATGAGGACTCGGTGTGGGGATGCCTGTCTGGAGACCCGTAGAGCAAGGGAGCCCTTTGCTCCATGGCAGCAAGCTGCTGCGCGTTGGCACCAGTGAACAACGGCATCGGCACTTGACACTCATCTTGCAGGACGCGGCCTCCTCTCTCGAGGGGCTGTAGTGGTCGCGACGGCCTTGGAGGAGAAGTCAGTGGACTGGGAGCCCACCCTTGCGGCAGTGGCTGTACGTTCGCCGCGCCACCAAACAGAGACTGCACTCTTCCTAGCAACTGACTAGCAAAAGCCTGAGCCCCAGTCTGCATGACCGCTGACGCCCCGTACGCCGTTGATCTGGGCGTTTCAAAGCCCTCAGCACTACTTCCAGGATTCGCTGCAGATGGGTTGTACCCTGAGACGCCTGCGGCAACATTGATCTGAGCGCTAGCCATTCCACTTTCGGTGGCCACACTGAAACCCTGAGTCACTGCAGTTGCATCTCCATGCACCCCACTCGCATCAGCGACCTCCGCGGTAGATACTGCTTCATACGTAACGCCAGCTGTACCCAAGCCTCCAACCTGGCCTAGTGTTCCATCGCCTCCTGTCCTACCGACTGCTGAAACTCTCGGTCGGCCGGCTGTTCCAACAGTTTCTTGTGGCAGCTGAGGGGATGGCACTGGACCAGCTGTGGAAGTCGATGGCCCCGACGACGCATCCATCATAGTTTGCTGGATTCCATCCCCAATAGGCTGCGCAAGCCCAGAGGGCGATGGCACTCCAACTCCGGCGGTTGTACCATTCACTGTAGTCTGCGGTGCATCCCCGCCTCCCCGCACACCAGGCAGAGAGGCCGGAGAAGCCACCGCTCCGGTTGCTTCTGGCCCAGGCGTTGGGCTCATCACCTGTTGAAGGTGTTCACCCTGGGTGGCCATACCCTGCAGCGAAGCTCACGCAGAATGTTTTCTATGGCTGGGCGCAGAGGCGACTCACGATCTCAACGAAGCAACAAGAGAACCGACAAACCAACAAACGACCTGTACAGCTTTACAAGTTGTTGGTTACAGTACACATGGCTCAAGAGGCTTACCTTTCGTAGCCTTCCCCTACGAGCCGAAGCATAACAGCGCACAAACACTTGCAGACTACAGGTACCTAGCAGCTATACAAGGGCCCTGAAAGCTAGCCACAACTGCAAACTACAAGTGCTGATCACTGACATGCTGGAGCGTTTTCAACACAAACCCTAAACCGGTTGTTTTATGGCCCTGGGGTGTTGCAGTTGGTGGCTTCGGCGACGCGTTCGAGATTCGAGCGAGGAACTCGAGCCCTAAACTGGCTTTGCAACATACTGCTGATGGACAAAATCCTAGGGTTCCTTTAAAGGGAGCATTAAGGGTACCTTTAAGGGGCTCCTTTGAGGGATCTATAGGGTTTTGGGGTTTAGGGATATAAATCCTGCATTACCCATTATAAGGAATATACCATAGCTCCCATAGTTTAAAGTCCTAGGGTCATGCAGGATTTTGTCCATCAACAGCACCAAAGCCTCAACTTTCAAGTTTTAGGGTTTAGGTCAGACGGGGTATTTCGAGATGGAAAGGAGCCGTGGCTGGTGATGAAACTGTACGCAGACAAAACCAAACTGCTCCTTAAAGCCAAGTGTGCCAGGGACTTCTGCACCCTACACCCCAAAACCTGGGCTTTGAAGTAACCAAGGAGAAAAAAGTATTCACGTTGTCTTCATAATTGGCTCCCTTTAAGTAACAGGTCCCAATCGAGTATCAAAGTATGGTACTCCAAAGCCCCTAAACCCTAAACCCTAAACCCTAAACCCTAAACCCTAAACCCTAAACCCTAAACCCTAAACCCTAAACCCTAAACCCTAAACCCTAACCCCTAAACCCCTAAACCCTAAACCCTAAACCCCTAAACCCTAAACCCTAAACCCTAAACCCTAAACCCTAAACCCTAAACCCTAAACCCTAAACCCTAAACCCCTAACCCTAAACCCTAAACCCCTAACCCCTAAACCCCTAAACCCTAAACCCCTAAACCCTAAACCCTAAACCCCCAACACCTAAACCTGGGCCTGAAAGCCAGACCCCACTTAAAGGATCATGGGACTTAGTCACTAGGAAGTCCTTAAAGGGCTCCTTAAAGGGATCTATAGGGTTCCCTTAAAGGGATCTATAGGGTTCCCTTAAAGGGATCTGGAGGGTTTAGGGTTTAGGGTCTACTTAAAGGATCACAGGACTTAGTAACCAGGGTTATATTTGGGGAAACTATAAGTATAACTATTTATAACCCCAATGAAGGTACTTAGAACCTTACTTACTAACTCCCATGATCCTCCAAGTAGGGTTTAGGGCCCATCAAGACGAGCCATGCGACAGGACAGAATCAGCGCGGTCGAACCAGTGCGAAAAAGCGATCGCCGATGCTGAAGCCTTGGCTGTCTTCTTCCCAGAGACTCCAATATCCCTTTAAAGGGATCTATAATGGTTCATTTATATGGCATCTATAGGGTTTAGGGTTTGAGGGATTCTAATATCCCTTAATTCAGGAATATTCCCTAGATCATATTAGGGATTCAAGTATATTTTACGGTATATTCCTTAATTAAGGGGTATTGGAGTCTCTGTGTGCATCTATGCTGGGATGGGCCAAGGCCGCAAGGTTTAAGCCTTTGAGATTAGCCCTCTAGCCCCTTGCGCAGCCCTAAACCCCTAACCCCGACACCCTACTAGGACCCCCAAATTGCCTCGATAATGGGTATTTAGGGCAGGTTAGACGGTAATTGGGAGGTCTAGGTAAACCTGCCCAAAGAGCCCAATACCCCTTATGGCTTAAATTATATAGGGGCTTCATAACAATGAGTTAAGCTATATTCCTCAATTTACGGGGTATTGGGCTCTCTGGGTGAAGCCCTGAAGCCATTGACGCCATCGGGATTGCACTTCACGGTGAAAAAGTATGGAAGAAGGTCGGTCGGCGCTGGACAATCCAAAGTACTCGACGCTCCTTGAATTTTGCTGAGACATACGGTTGATGATATAAATCCTGCATGACCCATAATAAGGAATATATCAAAATTCCCATGGTTTAGGGTCCTTAGGGTCATGCAGGATTTTGTCCATCAACAGTAGGGCATGGGAAATGGCAATTTTCAGGGTTTAAGGGATTAGCCCAATTTTTACCTATGACCGACTAAGTAAGTCCCTTGGGCCTTCAAGTAGGGCTTCAGTCAGAAGGAAGGAAGGCAGAAAGCCGAAACGCGCTGTTTAGGTTGGCCCTTTCAAGCCTCTGAAAAAAACGAGCATTACCAAACAACCCTCTTAAAGCCCCGTAAAAGAAAAACCGTAAACCCTGCAACCCTCAAACTTCCGGAAACCCTACAACCCTAAACCCCTGAAAGCCTAAAACCCTAAACCCGAAGGCCCATCTCGTATCGTGTTATCGTTCAGAGCGCTCACCTTGCCCAGAGACTCCAATATCCCTTGATTAAGAATTGGGTGGTTGTCAAATTTAGGGTCCCTTTCTGGGTCCCTATTATAGTACGGCATCTCATGTTTAGGGTACCCAAAAAGGGACCCTATTTTTGACAGCCACCCAGTTATTTCAAATTCCTTAACTAAGGGATAGTAGAGTCTCTGGGTGTGTTACCTTCAAATCCCTCTGTGTTTGCTCATCAGCCCGAGGAAACGTTTAGGGTTTGGGGATACTGTATAAAGGAAAAACCTGCCAAGCGGTTGAAAGGGTGCAAACCCTTTCAAATGCTGGCTCGCCTTAAAACTCCTGTCTTTCCATAGAAACTTCCACTATGGGCTATTAGACCCTAAAGATCCCTATTAGGACCCTATTAAGGGTAGATTACGGTACCCATAAGGTCTAATAGCCCATAGAAACTTTGTGAAGCTCTGATCAAAACCCTACGAGCTGGATCCATTGAAATCTGAAGTCCCTCGACACAAACCCAAAGCCCCTAAACCCTAAGTCCCTTAACCCCAAACCCCTAAATACTAAACCCCTATATCCCTAAAGCCCCAAATCCCTAAACCCCCTACACCCCTAAATCCCTAACTTTCTAAATCCCTAAGCCCCAAACCCCTAAACCCCAAACCCTAAACCCTTAATTAAACCCTAAACCCCTACATCCCTAAAGCCCTAAGTCCCTGAACCCCCTACACCCCTAAATCCCTAGCTCTCTAAATGGGAGTTTCCGAAAATAGGGGATCCTAGATATTATAAGGACCCCCAAATAAGATACCCCGCAAATTTTCGGAAACTCCCGAATCCCTACTTGGAGGATCATGGGACTTAGTAAGTAAGGTTGTAAGTACCTTAATTCTTAATTGAGGTTATAAGTATGGTTATCCTAATACTAACCCTAGTTACTGAGTCCCATGATCCTTTAAGTAGACCCTAAACCCTAAACCCTATAGATATCTCTAAGGAACCCTATAGATCCCTTTAAGGAGCCCTTTAAGGAACCCTAGTTACTAAGTCCCATGATCCTTTAAGTAAGCCGATCTCGTCCCAGGCGCGTCCGCTTCATTTCCATGGTTTCGGCCTGGAGGTCCAAGGAAGGCAACTTCACCGCCATGCCTTCCGAAGGGCTCAGGAGGGTTTAGGTGGGTTTAGGGGCTTGTAGGGTTTAGGTGTTTAGGGTTTAGGGCCCGAGTTTAGGGGTTTGGGGTTTCGGGTTTGAGTCAAAGGTTTGGGCCATGCCTTCGAAAGGGTTCAATACGAGGGCTCCTTAAGGGGTTCTATTTGGGTTCCTTGAAGGTTCAGGGTTCCTAAAAGGGATCTATAAGGGTTCTAGGGTTTAGGGGTTTAAGGCTTTAAGGATTGGTTAAACCACAAAAAGGAACTACAACGGAGACTATAGGTAGGGTTTAGAGGGCATTAGAAGAGTATATGAGCAGATTCGGTGTAAGAGGCCATGCCTTCGAAAGGGTTCATTGAAAGGGTTTAGGATTTGGGATCCCTTTAGAGGGATCTATAAGGGTTCTGTAAAGGGTTTAGGGTAGGGTTTAGGTGTTTAGGGCTTGGGGGCTTGGGGTTTGGGGTTTCGAGTTTAGGCTTCAAGGGTTTGGGGTTTAGGGTATAAGGGTGCATTAGAAGGGTAGTAAGATCAGGATTGATGTAAGGGTGTCCTTGAAACGGGTCTGGGTTTACAGACAATTTTTGAGGGTCTGTAGAAGCGTTCTATGAGGTGCTTTACAGGATAGGGTTGTGGGCTTCGTCGTTAGGGTTGGGGTTTAGGGTTGTCATGCCCCAAGGTCCTATAATGGGTCGCATAAGGTGTTGTACAATGAAGGTTTAGGTTTACACAGGCTTTCTCGCGGACTTTACACAGCGTTTGAGCAGGGTCTTGTAAGACTTCATGGTGAAGCCGCGATGTTAGGGCCGAGGGCTGACTTAGAGTCTCACAACGGCTGTACTGGTAGGGCCCAGGGCATTCAGTCTCACAAGGGCTGTACTGGTTAGGGGCTTAGGTTTATGGTTTAGGGGTTACTACTAGTTGCATAAATCTGGAAGACCAAAACCTTTTGAAACTTCCAGTATCTAGCTTGTACGGGTCTGAAAGAGCACCCACTCAGACGATAAAAAACCTTTGAAATGTATGCATCCCTATCATTCCCTAAACCCTAAACTATAGTTCCTGGATAAAGGCACCTTGGTCTCGTGAGGATCGATGCAGAGAAGCAAATGCCGGAGAGGGCGAGCTGAAAACTTGAGCCGTCCAGATGATGTTTAGAGTCTAGGGTCTAGGGTTGGGGGTTTAGGGTTTAGGGGTTTCGGGGGGTACAAAGAAGAACGAGAGATTCGAGGTGAGCTTCCGGCTTGTGCCACCGGGTCCACAGGTGCAGTGTCTCGGGCTTGTGTGTCTAGGGGTTTGGGGTTTAGGATTTGGGGGGTGTCCGGAACGTCGTTTAATGTTTACTTGGGGATCGTGGGACTCAGTAACTAGGGTTATGAACAAGGTAACTATAGTTACAAATACGTATAACCCCAACTAAGGCACTTGTACCTCCAAGTAAGAGTTTAGGGTTCAAGGGAGGGGTTGCAACCCCTTTGATGGCAGAAAGGCTCTGACGCAAAGACTCGTACACCTCTCCTCAGCAACATACCCTAGACACTTTGGGCTTTAAAGCCCCAAGCCCTTAACCCAAAACACAAAGCTGAACCTTGGACATCAATCATGCTAGGGAACTGCCACATCCCTTTGTTGTAAGGGGACAAATCTAAGTGGGATCTGTGTTTTCGGTTTAGGGTTTAAATAGGGCTTCGGGAATCTAGGCGGGATCTACAGTGAATAATAGGGCTTCCTTCTCATGGTAGCCTGAACTACCTTCACGAACAAGAAAGAATCCAGATATTGATCCCCCCACATCCTCAGCCCGAAATCCTGAAACTGAACCCTAAGCCCTAAACCCTAAACCCTAAGCCTCAAACCCTCAGCCACCCTGAACCTGTGCACCCGAGGCCACGGCTATGACGAAGCGCGAGGGATTATCAACCTCAGCCCGGAGACCGGTTGTCGAGAGGGGAGTGTAGAATTCTAGACGACCAGAGACTCCCTTAAAGAGGGATCTATAAGTGCTCCTTTAAGGGATATCTATAAGGGCTCTACAGGGTTTTGGGTTTAGGAGACTCGAAAACCCCTTAATTAAGGAATTTACCCTAAAGCATAGTAGGATCCATAATCTGATTGAAGGACTAGTCTCAGTTAATGGATATTGCACTCTCTGAATACGAGCTTTGGGGCTCCAAGGTTCAGATTTTAAGCCTCTCTGAACACGGTAAACTGATCATGAGGTAGAGAAATCATTACTCAATCATAGAAACCTAAACCCCTGAACCCCTAAACCCTAACCCCTAACACCCAAACCCCTAAACCCCTAAGCCCTAAACCCCTGAACGCTAAGCTTCTGCTGAGGCTCCTACTGCATGCGTGATCAGCACAAAACCCTACACTCCAAGCCCTTTACCTAAAACTGCGGCTTCGTGAAAACTTTAGGACTTCTTGCGGAGGGTTTAGGGTTGAGGGTGAGACTCCAATATCACTTTATTGAGGAGTATTCCTTAGATCAGCTACGGGGTCCTCCTATACTTTCAGGTATCTTCTTTACTTAAGGGGCTTTGGAGTCTCTAGGGGGTGTGGAGGTCCTGGCAGCCTGTGGCGGAACCCATAAGTAAGGCTTAAGGGTTGGGTTTTGCATCTGGGGTTTAAGGGCTTAAGGGTTAAAGGATGCGCAAGCCCAAACGCTAGACCGAAACCCTAAAACCCCTTAATCCTCGAATCCAAACCCTAAGCCCGCCCCAATACCCCTTGAATAAATCTAGGACTACACCTTAAACTATAACGGTCTTAATATGAAAAGTTTGCTATGGGCAGTAGTTAAAGTGTATTGGGCTCTATAATTAGGGAGGTCTCGGAGGTCGAGGGTTCAGGGTTTCGAACCTTTGCCATCCCCCGGACCCCTAAACTACCCTCGACTATGCCCCAAATACCCACTATTCAGGGCCCGCAACTACGCCCTAATATACCCCCAAATACCCACTGATAAGGGCCCCCAACTAACTAGCCTCTAATATGCCCCACATACAAGGGAAGAGAAACCATCTCTTGTCATAAACACAAAAAGGAAACCAAAAACACAAGAAGGCGCTGAGGATTTCGGGTTCAGGGCCCCAACTACGCTTCAATAGACCCCAAATACCACTATTCAGGGCCATAAGGACTCTATTGAAGGGCCCTTTTTTGGGGGGGTCCTGGCCCGTCCGCATCGTTTTTCCGCCTCAGCCAGCAGGCGCACCACCTCAGCATGCCCCTCGGAGGATGCCACCTGAGTTCCCCGATTAATGTAGGAACCTGATTAAGAACCCCGGGGCCTTAAAAAGGGCTCCTTTAAGGGGTTACTATAAGGGGTCTATAAGGGCTACTATAAGAACGTAGGAACCTGATTAAGCAACTCTGGGCTTGTAACCCCAAACTAGTAGGGCTCATATAAGGAACCCTTGAAGTACTAAGGCCCAAGGTTTCTTAATCAGGTTCCTACAGTAGCGCCCGTAATGAAGGGTCTTCAAGTTTCATCGGGCTTTGTAAGGATTTAGAGGGGAACTAGCAGACAGAAACGACGAAGTCATGACACTGCAAAAATAAACGGAATGGACTTTCAGACTTTGTCAATAAGAACCTCGCCCCCCCCATAAAAAAACGAATGCCCACCGTTGGAAAACCCAGCAGCTGTAAGCGCGGTGTCGCCCACCAAGTCGATGTCTTGCACATCTGCACGGGCTTCCACCAACAAACGCACCACCTCAACATGGCCTTGGTGCTTGCTCAGGGAGAATTTGAATAAGCAGTACCCTGGTCGTCGTTCTCCAGGTCGTGAGGCTAATAGAGGGGCCTTAATAATTAGGCTAGGGTTTTGAGGCCCATTACGCATCCTATAGTTTAAATAAGGAACCCCCCAAAATAGTATGGGTAGTTATGTTTCCATGTTTAGTTTGAAGAAGCTTGCAACTGAGAACATCGCCATTGGAAGCTGCTGCGATCAGAGCGGTGAAGCCACGCAACACCGAGACGTCCACATCCTGGGTTCTTGTTGGCAACTGGAAGTTAGGCTAGCATAATATGGTGCTAGAGTAAGCCTCATGGTAAACTCCCTAAACCCCAAACCCTACACCTTGTATAAATCTTAAACCGTCAGGATTAAACCCTAAACCTTAAACCCTATAAACCCTATATCCCAAACCCTTAGAGAGAGCCCAGGATCAGAGTCCGGAAGGCCGATAACTGACAGGTTCACATCAGCACCGGCTTCCAGGAGCGAACGCACCACCTCAGGGCTTTAGGGGTTGAGCATTTAGGGGTTTAGGGTTTCGGGTTTAGGGGTTTAGGGTTTAGGGGTTTAAGGGGTTTAGGGGTTTAGGGTTTCGGATTTAGCATTTAGGGGCAAACTTGTAGACGGAACCTTATTATATACTATGATTTATCGTATCTCCATTACTTAACGGATTTTGGAGGCTTTAATGGCTGAGGGTGTAGGCTTTAGGGGTCTTCGGGCTCAAGGCTTATATGGTAGAGTGTTGAAGGTTCTGGGGTAAGGCTTTCGGATTCACCGGTTTAGGCCCGCCACCTCAACGTGCCCATTCAAAGATGCTCCAATTATAGCTGTGCTGTGGCTTTCACTCGACAAGTCCACATTTGCATGCGCTTCCAGCAGCGCTCGCACAGCCCCGTCGTGGCCGTTGGAAGATGCTTTGGCAAGAGCCGTAGCACGCGGCGGGCCTTATAGACCCCTTCTAGAACCCTGATAATAGCCGGTACAAGGCTTAAAGAATAAACGCTAAGCCCTAGACTCTCAAACTGGAACGCCAAACCGAACCCTTAAACTCTAGTTACAACACGAAACCCTGAACGGAACGGCCCTAAACCCTAAACCCCAGAACCTTAAAACCCTTAGACCTTCCAAAACACTTTAATCAGGGCATATGCCTTAGATTATAGTAGGATTCCAAGTATGAATTAAGGCACATTCCTTAGAACCCAAACAACCCTGAACGGCCCTGAACCCTAAACCCCAGATCCCC